TCTGGACAATAAATAAGGGTGACAGAAAAAGAATTAACACCTTTGAATTGTGATGTTGGAGAAGAGCACGAAATATCCCATTGGACTGTCGAAAGAACAATAACAATAGCATTGTTAAAATCACTGTGTCAATCCACCTTGTTGAGGGTCTTCCTCTCTTTTGCTGACCTCCATCTTTCCAAGCATGATGATGTCCTTTCCTGAAGAGCCCCTCCTAACAACATACCCAAAATATGTGAGATGAAGCTTTGCCATCCTTTCCTCCAAGGAACACACTGGTTGTGCTTTCTCCCCAGTGTATTTATTTGCCCTTTTGGAAGTCCATGGTATATTCAGTACTCTTCTCCAATACCACCACTCAAAGGCATTGATTTTTCTTTTGTAATCTTAGTTATTGTCCCACTTTCAGATGCATAAAAAAGATAATTGAAAAGACCATTGCTTGAAACAGATGCACCTTAGTTTCAATAACATACAGTTTTATGTCTTTATGTATAGCTAGTCATTGAAAGTTGAGAAGAAATTTCTAAAGATTGTATTTTAGTGACATTGGCGCACTGTGACTGGTTATTAAGTATGTACGCATCTAATGAAAGCACAAGTATTTGTATATCCTGGTAAGCAGTTGTTAGGTGGAAACAAGCCAGTTATGACTCATAGTGACCCTATGAACATTAGATTAAGACCTTCTCCTATCTTGTGTCAAACTCAAAATCTCTGCCATGATCAAGTTCATTTTTGCAGTCACTGTGCCAACCTATGTTATTGAGGAACTTTCTCAGTATTGCAGACTCTCTACTTTTCTAAGCATAAGGCCTTTTTCCAAGGGCACCTTCTGTCAACATGCTCATGGTATGTGAGCTGAAATTTCACCACTTTTTCTCCAAAGAACATTCTAGTTGCATTTTCTCCAAGACAAATTTGTTTATTCTTCTGGCAGTGCATGGGATATTCAATATTATTTTCTGACACTATTCTAATTCATCCACATCATTTCTTCTTTGTCTTCCTTATTCATGTGATGTTGGATGCATGGGAAGCAAATGAAAGGATCCGATTCACACTAGTCTTGGCAGTAGAGGTATTTTAATTGATAATGCATATAAAAACTGCATCTTTTCATTTGTTTCTAAAGTAGTTTATTAAAGATTTTTTCCCCTCTAAAACATTTAGAAGAATTCATTAGAGACAATATTTCCATTTTCTTTCTCTTTATGGAGTTTTGTCAGTAAGATTTTAGCCTGGAGACTAAAACCAGGAAATGCATTGGAACAACGGTAATGTAAAGAATTATTTGTAACAGAGTGTTTATCTAGTGAACTGAAAGGCCATCAATTGATAACCTCTTTCTAGGCAATCTGTTGTTGTTGGGTGAGATTCAGGTAGGTGGACTCATACTGATGCTCTAGCAGGTTTTCAGAGGTTTTAAATATCATGGTAGTATATTTCTTTCTTCTAACAACTAGCGGATTTGTACCATCTGCCTTTGGATTAGAAGCACAACTTGTTATTAGGTCAACAGAGCTCCAATCAGTTGTTTGCAAATTGAAACTGTGGCCGAAGAATATATTGCAGTAGAAAAGGAGGCATGAGATGTACAGAATTAGATTATTTTCTGTCTGCTGTCGTTGTAAAATATTTGAACTGTGCAATAATAAGCTAGCTTCTTGTATAGCATTCTTTTAAACTGCAGTAGAAAGTGATTTGTCTTACTGGGCTTAACATATTTTTCTGAGTGTGAATTATCTGTCTTTCTTTAAGCGGGGTGGTTCACACTACTCTTCAAGGGTTTCTCAATTGAATAATCTAGAAAATTAAATCTTGCACATTTCCCTGAGTAAAGGGGATTACTTACCTCCAGTAAAGATAGTTTACAAGAGCACACGTAACTAGGAAGTCATTAGTCCTACTATATTGGCAACAACTAGGCTGATAGAACACTGGAATAGGTTTATAAAAATGTAAGCAAAGTTAAAGCTGCATATTGAAGAGGACACATTAATGAAGTAGGGTCTCTGTTCCTCTAGATATATATTTTGAATATGTGGTCTTTGAACACAGAAAGAACATGAGTTTGATGATAAGCTTCTGAAAGCCTTGATAATCCTACTAAGTAGTTATATTTACACGAGTGAAGTTACTGATAATGAAATTTCTCTTGATAGCAACTGTAAACAGCAATAGTAATGTCCTTTTAAAAAATACAATTCAAATTATATTTTTTGTTTTAAAGCTATAATGATGCTTTGTATATTTTGAAGTTTGCTGAGCTTCATTTGTTGTTGAATGAATGTTTAAATGTATGCTGCGTTTGTTGTTGTTGTTGCTGCATTTAGGAGTTAGAATATTTGATGACTTATATAGCAAAAGCTATTGGGGAAAAACATGAAAGAATAGAATAATAAAAACAGAATTGTTCTCATGAAAACTTTCTGTGTTTGCTTTGTAAAAGAATTTGTGTATCATTTGGATATTTAATTTGAGTAAAATATGTGTGAGCAAAATATAACCACCTTTGCAGCAAAAACAAAATAAAACAAAACAAAACCAAACCAAGATATGAATGGGGAAGGCAAAGGATAGAGTAATCTCTTTCACTGTGAATCTGAAGATTCTGGTTTTTTTTTCCCCTCAAACTTTAAGGTATGGTTGAGTGAACACATATATTTTTTGAGAAACAACAGGAGTTCAAGAAACCTAAATTTTTTAGCATCTTTCCAGCCAGTTTGGATTCCTTATATTGAAAGACATATAGGCAGAAGAAAGAAACAATTGGCTCATTCTTTTTCTTCTTCACTGTGAAGAGATAGGGTTACTGATCCATAATGCATTGTATAGTGAAGTTTTAGATAAAATTAAAGCTCCACTAACGCACCACTTTGTAGTTTCAAAGTTGATGACAACTATAAAAGGGTAATTGTGACAATCGTAGACAGCAAGAACATTGTAACCAGGAACTTGCCCTACTAATGTTGGTGTTATGTGACCATGAGTCACCTGTGACTCTTAGTGACCCTATGTACAACAGCCCTAAACCCTGCTCTATCCTGTGCTGAGCTTATTGTCTCTGACACACTTACCCTCAGTCACTGAATCAATCCATCTCATTGAGAGTTTTCCTCTCTTGCACTGTCCCTCCACCCTCCCAAGCATGACTTTCCTCTCCAAGAACTGGCCCCTCCTTGCAATATGTCCAAAATATGTCAAATGTAACTTCAGAATCCTTTCCTCCAAGGAGCAGCCTGGTTTCACCCTCTCCAGCTTGAACTTGTTTGTCCTCTTAGCAGTCCATGATATATTCAGTACTCTTCTCCAGCACCAAAATTCAAAGGTATCAACAGTCCTTCTATCATGCCTAGTCATAATCCAGATCTCTGATGCATAGCAAGTGATTGCAAAGACCATGGCCTGTATCAGGCACACCTTAGTATCCAGACTAACATTGTTGCTCCTCAGTACTCTGGAGAGGTCTCTGACAGCAGTCTATCCTAATGCAATTCAACTTTTAATTTCCTGGCTGCTGGTGTCAAAAGTGTTGATTGTGGAGCTAAGATAAACAATCTCAATCTCTTCACCATCTATCAGATGCTGCCAATCAGCCCAATGGTGAAAATGTTTGTTTTCTTGATATTGAGCTTCAATCCATATTGAAGGCTAGAGTCCTTGACCTTCTGCAGTGAGTGCTTCAGGTTCTCCTCATTTTCAGCAAGCTGGGTTGTATCATCTGCATAACACAAACTGTTGATGTGTCTTCCTCCAAGCCTAATGCCACACTTCTCCTCATAGAGCCCAGCCTCCCAGAGAATATAGATAGAAAAGGTATGGAGAATGGATCAAATCTCTGGCATACACCCTTCCTAATTTTGAATCATTCAGTGTTTCTTTGCTCTGTTCTGATGACTACCTCCTGGTCCAAGTATAGATCTTATATAAGCACAATCAAGTGTTCCCTCCTAATAGGTAAATGAAACATATTCACTGACAAGAATCCTGATAGAAATTTTGATTAAAGACAAGGAAAGTTTATAATAGGTAGTAGAGGGGAAGAGAATTGATAATAATTCTGAATAATGGTGCTGTTTTATCTCAATACCTTACTATTCTAAGCCTTTCTTTTAGGAAATAGTTGAAAAACTACTATGTTAAGAAATCTCTCATCATTAATATTAACCAATAACTTGGTGGAAGAAAGATGTACAGTCTCCTCGTCAGTGATTTACAGCATCAAAAATCTGCTGGAAGATCTGCTCTGTCAGTTTCAACTCATAATAGTGAGTTTAGTTGGCTTTTGAAGTGATGATCGAGTTGAAATTATCCCCGAGGATTTCTTATTTGCAAATAAGAATATGTTTGTCTACTCTCAGCACCTCAGTGTTTCTCTACTTTCAGCATCTGCTGGATGGCTTGTTTCTTGCTCTCTAGCATGTACAATATTCTTTTGGAGAAAACAATCATCATGATGGATTAATATTTCCCATAGTCGTAAAGATAGTGAGTAAACACTCTACAAAAGTAGAAATGGGCTAATGAAATAGATGGATTCAGTTATGGCCATGTTTTATGTGAGGGGTTTAAGTGAAGATATTGAAAAGGCAAATATCTAACAAGTGATTGTTTAGCTTTTTTTAAACTCTTTTTTTATTATTATTATTAATTTCAATGAACATCTACAGAGATTTTGGAATTCCATTCATTCATTGTTGCACCCTTC